GACAAAGTCAACGTCTTTGCCAGTAAAAAGAAAAATATTACCAAATTATCAATTAGCCGTTTTTTTTTAAAGGATGCTTATCACTTTTTATAATAAAACATTTAATTAAAAAGGACAATGTACAGCTAAAATGGAATAATTTTATGCACTGCACCAGAATATAGCAGAGGCTATTTCCCATCTGCAGTCCCTTAGCAAATTAAAATACACACAATCAAAAAATCGAATGTAACACTGCAGATTCTGTTCTAATCAGACTAAACACACATGTACAAACTCAGTTTTTAAAACATTGCTTTTTGGTTCTGATAAAGGTCATGATATATACGGTAATTTCCTTGTGAATATTAAAGTCTGTGTTGATCAGGAGGAATGTGTGACAGGCAGTAGCTTAGAGAACTAACAGAGCTGCATTCAGCAGTAAGATTTAGAAATGCCCAGAGGCTCAGTCCACATCTAATGCAATACAGTGATGGAAGAATGCTGCTGGTGACAAAAACTGGAGCTCTATTAAATTCTGAGAATTTTCCCATCGCTATAGTAACTGCGCCAATGTCCATGAGTACTGACGTTATTGCCGATAACCAATATTCATAAATAGTATAAATAAATCTCCTTGGCGCTGCCTTTCTTATACCTTATCCAGAATAGTTAGAATATCCTGAGCTATTTTCTATATTTATGCTTCTATATGTTTAGGCTGCTGGAGGACATAGCGACCACTTTTCATCATGACTGTCCGTCTCCCGGGAACCTGGAGCCTTACAGTTTTTTTTTTTTTTGTATATTTGATTCTTTTTGTATGTCTGCTCCTGTTTCCTTGAACCTTTGGCAGATGGACGCTCACACTAAGCCTGTTCTGCTGAAATTTCTTCCTGTTAAAGGGGAGTTTCCACTCGACTGATGCCGCGTGCATGCTATATGTGATGGATTGCTGTAGAGTCAACGACAAAATGTAAGCGAAAATCGTCACCGAAGGCTCATATAGGAGGAAATCAAAGATGCAAACAACTGGTCATCCATGAAAGAAACTTTTTACCGATCTGACTGCATTGTCTCTGAAGTGCCTTTAGATGACATGTGTTGTGAATTGGGGCTATCTAAATAAACGGAATCAAATACATTTCCTTAACCTTTAAATTCAGTGAAAAATTGACCAAACAGAAGCACATAAACAAAACAAAACAATGAAGAAATGAACTAGTGTTTGTATCGGTATCTTGTTCTTTCCTACAGTAAACATTGCAATTTCTACTCAATTTCCAGCTGTCATTGAATTTTTAATGCTTTGAGCATCTGTCCTCCTATTTAAACCTTTACCTGGAGTAAATTTTAAGTCAAAACTTTCTCAAAATGTTTCCTATTCAATGTTATTCTATCAAAGTTTGTAGTGGACCAACTAAGTAAAACCTAAACAGTGGCTTTAAAAAGACTACATTCTAAATTTTCTTCTCATGTAGACCATCCAGTTACTGTCAGTCAGCAGATTTAAACAAAAGCAAGTAATGTTTTCTGAGTATTTGAACAGGGTAGATTATTCATAAATATATATATAATGGGAAATCTGCTGCATGGATTCTGTTTTCTATTATATGTGAAAAATATCTGTTAAAGTCATTTCATGACTCAAATGTTACCTCTCCGAGGACGTCCAAACACCTCACTGTTGTGCGTTTGATTCACATCTTAGACCCTAAGCCAGAAAAATAAGGAAAACAAAATGTTAGAATGCAGCATCAGCAACGAATTCCAATTTTCCAGCCAGTGTTTGCCCTCTCCTGTCAGGAAGAGGAGATCAGTAAATCCTTTCAGCTCAGATCTCTGGAAAAACACATTTTTACATCGAGCTGAGTTTTCTCTGAAACGATGGCAACTCCTGATTTAATCCGGTTCTAATTTGTGAAAAAACCCAAACAGATGAATCAGGCTGGAAGTTGTCTGCAAAAGTAAGAAAAATAGGAGTTTTCAGTCTAGACATTTTGTGCTGACAGACTTGAACGGTCAAATTTAAACCGAACGCAGAGAAATCCCCTCCAGGTCAAAATAAATAAAAGCCTTAGGACTGCTTTCTAAAAATGTTTTTTTTTTTTTACAAATAAAATCCTTGTTTTTATTCAAAACCATAATAACAATAATCAGAATTGTTTTTTAAAGTATGAATTCATCCAATTATTTAACACCTTTTACAAAGTTTTGTAGAGCTTTGACCTAATATAGAGCTATGGAAAAGGAGTCCTGTTAAGAATATAACTGGAGATTCCTGTGAAAGTGAAAAGAAAATAAAGAAAAGTGATCCAAGGACTAGAATCTGTGGTACTCCATAGCAGACTGGTGAGACAGAAAGAGCTGTTACTTATCCAAACACATGAAATCTTTCAGATCAAAGATTATTTCTCACCATAATATATAGGTCAACAACTAGTCTAAATACTTGTGGTCCATATTTGAGATGAAAATGGGCTCATGATACAAAGGCGGCTTCTGAAAAGTGGTGTCGGAATATTTTGATTTCTCTTCTATTATATATTAATTAATCCTATTTACTGTCTCTTTCCAAAGATACGAATAAATGTGCCGACTGAGTGAAATCCATCGATCTCCGTTTATTTAACTAGGGTGAATAGTTGAATACTTTTTTTCCTACGACAAAAGTCAGTCAACAGATTTCCCAGTTAAACGGAGGCGGTTGCAAAGGAGGTATTATAAAGTAATTCTATTATGCATTATGATCTTTATAATCGATAGTCTTTTACAGTTTTTTCCAGAACAAAACCTCTATTAAGATTCTAATGTGACAATTATATTAATTTAAAGTCAATTACATCCAAGAGAAATAGAGAAATAGCCCTGCACACTAAAAACACTATTTTTCTTACAGTTCTCCTGTTTTGAACTCAGTTTTTTGCATGCATATAAAACAATCAAGAACAAAAATGTGTCAGATGCTGAAAGAAAAAGGTTTATACAATCCACTTAAGTTTATTCAGCTGCAGTCTTGGCGAAAAGAAAGTAAACCTTCCTTTTGCTCCAGGGTTTTACATAACATGACTAAAAATGGATCTAGGAGGCTATAAAGTTTCTCAAATCTAACGAGTGAGGAAATAAATACCAGATTTCAGTAGTAATTGTGCTGAATGCCACAATAGAAAAGATGCTTACAAAACATCCACTGCTGACAAAGATCCACATTCTTCAAACTCCTACTCTGATCTGGTGCAACTTCAAATACTGCAAAAAAAAAAAGAAAAAAAAAAGGAAACAACTTTTTTAAGTATAGGAATGCAATTATGAATGGGAAGAATGCCCATTTTCAATAGCATGTCTATGCGCTGTGGCCGTAGCTAGATGTGGCTAATTAGCATATCTTGAAAAGATCCAAGGTGGAGATTTTGTCATGAACCGAAGACAGATGGACCCAGTATTCAGAAGAGACAGTCAGTAGGAAAGTTCAAAACATTAAATAACAAAACTAAAGTGGAGCTGTGGCTCGCGGACACTGCAGACATTCTCTGTGGGAGACACACAGGTAAGTGACCACGATCATCTGACTGAAGATGATTATCTGAGTTGGTCACTTACCTGGTTAAACAGTCCAGTCCGAGAATGTCCCCCAAGTGCTGCAGTCCCAGAGGACATGCTGGAAGCCGGTCCTGGTCAGGGATCCAGAGCAGACAGATACAGACAGGAACAGGATCCAGACTTCCAGGCATTCACAGGCTCCCAGGCGGGTTCAGAGTCTGACAGAGTCCGAAAGATCAGGTGCAGATGAGCAGACTCAGTGGAAGATGGTAGCCAAGACAGGACGTGGAACCTAGAACTTGATGCAGGACTTTAAACTGGTCTCCTCCCTGGAGCCAGGCTTACTTTGATAAAAACTGAACCTCCCCACACATAGAGCCAAAAACCCAGAGGACTCCGCCGGGGGAGGAACAGTGGACGATCAGGAGACGAGACAAACAAAAACCCTCTTTCCACTGGCTGCTAGGATCCAGGACATGAACTAAAACTGAACAGACAGACTAACAGAAAGACAAGTAATGATCTGGCACTGAATGCTCAGGCTGAACTGAGTGCAAACAAGAGAAAACAGGTGAGAAGAATAAATTATAATTGAGGCAGGGAGGGAAAAGGACAGGTGAAAGGACTAATTAAAGGAGAGCAAACAGGCCAGATCATGACAGATTTTTAAGGTTTAGATTTAAGATTCAGGTATTAGAGATACATTTAGACACATATTTAAATATCGATTTCTGAACTATAGAAAAGCAAATCGATAGAACTACATCAAATTTTTAAAACATCTGTTTATGATTTCAGTAGATACATCATGTAAGTTTTTACTTTGAAATATCTTTCCGATAGCCTTTTTATTGGAACCTTTACAACATAGTTTGATAAGCAGACTAAACACCTCATTAGTTCAGCGCGGATGGATCTAGAAGCCTTTAGCCTATTTTTATTTACTTACTTCAGGCAGGAGTTCCCACACTGTTAAGCAGATGTGCGTACAACCTAGAGAACAGTCAAAGCTTTATACTCAAGATGGATTTTGTAGATTCTAAGACGTCAAGTACGAGCGAAGTGCTGCAGTTCTCCATTTTATTTCATAAAAACTCTGTAATGCCTATTTGACAGATGAATCAATTTTTTATGTCGCTACATCTAAAGTGAAGCATAATGAAAACATTTTAAAGCTGAAGGTGTTGGCAGAAGAAATATGGTAAATGATGCAAATGAAATCAAAACCACTATAAATGTGAAGAAATAGTACCTGTTTATTATTACAAAAATATATATATATATTTAAAATGCTAAGCTGTTTGACAGTTTCCACTAGCAGCTGAGGTTAACCACAGAGGATGTATATCAAAAGAGACATATAGCGTTCAAGTAAGCCCCTTCTGATAAAGCTGCTGTCTTCACTGTGAATGCAAAACCACAGACTCCAGGAAATGAAACAGCCACTTTAGAAACCTTCAAGGTAACACCTGTAGAATATGCACTCAAGTGCAAGAAAGGTTGGTATACAACTTAATAACCGCTTATTGATAATGCTTTCAGTAAATAGTCAGTAGTGTCGTTTAAAGGTCAGAGTTCAGAGTGAAGTTTAGTTTTCATATCCAGTTGGTCGTCTGGAATTCTTTTAGTCACCAAATGTTCCTCGACATCCACTTCCTCCGTCTCCACTTCCTCCTCGGTTTCCGGCATGTCCATGAGTTTCAGGAAGTCGTAGAACTGAAAAGCAGGAGGCCAGCCGTCACCACCCAGCATCCCTGCAGAGACACGATGAAGCCTCATGGATTAAGGTGGCGGTTTCTCATATGGACAGTGTGACTCACCATAAAGGGTGGCAAGATCAAAGGATATGCAAAAGTACCTAAAGTGAGCATTTGATGCTTACTATAACTTTTCTGTGCTCTGCCAATTTTTCTAAGGGGTATTTAGAAGCTTACTACACCACGCTACATGAAGAAGTGGAAAACAAAGTTTGTTTCCAGTGTTTTTTAAAGCCCCTTCGGTCAGTAATTTCTCCGCAATACTTCTTCATAATCTGTTGAGGTGATATTAATCAGCAAAATTTGCAAAAATCAGATGCAATTTGACTGAACCTCGTGGATCCATGCCTTTAATCAGGATTAACTCCACCCATCCCCCACCTCCACCTAAATGACAGGGACGCACACTATTCAGCACAGTACCTGCAGGTGACTCCATCCCGTCCTCAACTCTCTGCAGCCACTGCAGCACGGAGGAGCCCAGTATAGGGGCACTGGGTGGATACTGGTACACTTCATCCCCACTGGGTAAATGTGTGAGCACCAAGGCAGGAAGTGGAGGCATAGAGCCCAGGTACGACCCCAGAACAGACATACCAGCTGGAGTGTGGCCACTGAAAGACAGACAGAGTAGATCTGTGTGTTATTTTCCAGTTTTATTACAATAAATTATAAAGTGGTTTGTTTTTTTTGCATATAATTAATGGAAACTGTACAGGTGGATCCAGCAGGGCAGGTATCGCTCCATCTTGGCGCCTCCCTGCTCCACCACTGTTGCCAGCTCCTCCACCAGTGCCTGGTTGTGCCTCCGCCCAATCTCATCATCTTCTTCACCCACAAAGAGAAGCAGGAGAGCTTTACCCAGGGAGATCAGGGACGGCAGGCTTTCCACAGTCACCTCAGGCTGAAGGGGGGAGAAAATTGGAATAAGACGCTAAATCCAAAGAACCAAATCTGCAAAAACGGTCATATGCATGATAGTGGAAAAACGCCAGCATCAGTAAATTGACGACGTTCTGCTACGTTTTTCGTTTCTATATGAGTGATTTGGCTGAATCAAGCAGCTGTTCCATCAGCTTTTATAGCATAAAGCTGATGGTGCAGCAAATAGAAAGCTGTAAGCAGCAAATATGCCTCCAAAGGAGGCAAAAAGTAATGCTCGGAAAGAACAGGGGAGCTTAATGCCAACTGAGGTGAAAACACAAGCATTGGGGGTGGATTTATCTTAACGCTAACCAATCACCCAGAAGGTGGTCCGCCACGATAAGCCCCTACAAATGCCTTCTGTCATAAAAGGCTCCAAAAGAGGCATCATTTTTAAGGAACACACATACCACAGGTTGGAGCAGAGCAGAGTAGATGCGGGCCAGCAGCTCTTTAGAAGATGACTCCACTGGCAACACTGAAGGGTTGGCAGGTTCCCTCCAGGAGGGAAACAACAAAACTGCAGGAGGGTCCACAGCATGCTCTGCAGCCCTGTGGAGTAGGCATTTATTTGCTTCTGGAAGCCATGATATTCCCCTTTTATTGTTGCGATAATTAACCAAATTATGCTTTGTCTGTTGAAGAAGCTGTTTGACCTTTAACGCAAACAGCAGCTTCAGAGAAACGATGAACAACGGCGCAAAAAAAAAATAAAAAAAGATCTTTAAACAGAGAAAAACATTGAATAAATTTAAAGTTTGTACCATTCTTCCATCACTACGTCAGTTAGGAGTCCTGTCAGAACCTCTCCTCTTAATGACTTAGCTGCTTCAATGAACACAGACAGACCTGGGAGAGGGAGAAAAATACCAAAACTAGATTTTATTAAGATTCTACAGAAAACAGACAAAAAATTCAGAAGAAGCGCATTAAACCATTTTACCTGATCTAAATTACATGAATATAAAGGAATACGGTTTTATCTTAAATCAATGTAATCATGAACTATAGCACTGGTATGTTATGATTGGTCGTTCATAGGCTCATACCTGATTGGCTTTCAGTCCTAAACAGTCCCAGGGCTCTGTCCGGCCTGTAACCAGCTAGATCAGGGTGAGGAGACTCCTGAAGGAAGGAGGTCACTTCCTCCTTGGTGGACAGTAGCACAGGAGACGCCTCACGGCTCCTGTTTGTTACAAAAGTTAAACCAAATACACATGTATGTTGAAGAGTAAAGCTAATTTTCCAGTTTCTACAAGTTTCTTACTTTCTTCTTTAAAGATGGTAGGATGTCACAAAACTCGAAAATCAAGTGGACACAGGAAAGAATATAAAAAGGAACAAGGAAGAGATTAGGGAAGAGCACAGAGGAGGAAATTGATAAATAAGGAAGGAAGGGAAGGAGGATACAGTACCTTTCTCCAGAAGAACAGGGCAACTTATTTTTCCCTGTGAAATCATTTCCCTTTCATCCTAACTAGGCCCCTGACCATCTTATGATGACAGTTAAATGTTCTACACGCTTTCTATGAATGCCTCATGGTATTTAACTCACTATTAGCCCATTTAGCGGGAAGTAAAATAGTTGGGACTGCTGTTATTTTGAGTCGTTTTGAGAGTTCCTCTAGTGGAGTTGAGGGAATTTTCATCAGTGCAGACTGAACGTCTGCATAGCATGATAGGGATGCACGATATAATCTGCCCCCTATCGGTATCGGCCTTAAAACTGAATATCGGACATCGGCCACCCCTGTTTCTAAAGTCTAAAAAATAAAAAAATACTACTTCTTCTTCTTCCTCAAAAACTTTTTTTTTACAGACTTAAAAACTTCTAAAGACGAGGGAAAAAATGTTGATACATTAAAATATCACAATATCTTCATATGCTGATATATTGCCATTTAAAAACACCATATCAATCTCTTTTACTAATGAAATATTGCTAAATGTCATCGTTATGCTACGAAATCCCCCAAAAATTCACGAAATGTTGCCATATTTTTATACGCGGTATCGATCTGTTTTACTAACAAAATCTCACAAGAATTTGCAAAATATCACGAGAGTTTGTAACAGAACGATGAAATTTCACGAGATTTTGAAAGTAAAATAGATCGATACCGCGTTTTTAAAAATCAATTTGATATCAGCATATGAAAATATATTTGAGTATATTATTTTTCAAAGTGTCAGAAATGGATAACAAAACTGCTATTTTCAATGACTACTTATTTTTGTCCAGCTTTAACATCGGTATCGATATCGGTTATCGGCTACATGAGTTTTAAAATATCGACATATCGGATATCGGCCAAAATCCCAATATCGTGCATCCCTATAGCATGAGATAAGAAACTCATCGAACTAAACATTTGTGTAGCTTTTACGTAAAGTTTGACCCTGTGATACTCGCAACAGAATATGTCCAAAATGCATCTAAAAACCTGACATAACTTTTAATCAAATAACAAATTTGTGAGTTTGTGAGTAATGAGTAAAATCAATAAATAAATTGTCCTTTCTGTTATTTTATCTGTTTACTCCAATTGTTTTAAGTGAGAAATTCAGGTCTTCCAGGGATCTTACATCATGATGAAGCGATGCAAAGCCTCCCCTGTCAGCATTCCTCTGTAGTGCTGGGCCGACTGGTGAGGGCGCATTAGCAGAATGCTAGGGAACGCTGTGATTGGTTGGAACGGGACAGCCCTGCCAGGCTGAGCAGCGCAGAGGTCAGTCCACTCCCCGCAGTCCACCACACACATATGAACGTCCTCAACATGGGAATCTTTAAAGATATCATTTTGAAAAACTAAATTCTGTGTTAATTAAAGTTACACAAAACATAATTTGGCTTTTCTAGAGCATTGTTTGCTTTATTTATTTATAATCCTTTAACCTTTTTAACTCATAAGCCACAAACTAGGGTGTTTTTTTTTTTTTTTTTTGTCGGGATAACACGATATAAACAACCAAGTAATCTTGTGAAGCTTTTAACAGGCTTCCTTTAAGGATATCCAATGGTGAGAGAAGCAAACCCACACCATGATGCTCCCACCACCATGCAAAGGTGAAGCATGATAAAGCCAAGTTGGAAGTTCTTTTGCAATGCAATCATAAACAGAAACTTTCAATTAAATGAATAAGAAGTCTCTCAAATTATACTTTATATCCCTAAAGTTGCATTTTTAAGCATAAACTGGAAATTAAAGCTCTTTCCATCTTTGTTGTGCATATGTTCCTAGCTGTTTACCTTCAAGTCTTTCTGCAACTTCAATGAAGGAGCTGAGGAAATCCATTGAAACAGCATCCCCTGGTGGTCAAAACCACAGTGAGTTATGGTGCAACCAACTGACAAACCAAGAACAATAATGTGCAAAAAATGATCTTACATTTGAGATAGAACAGCGCCACTGTGAGGCTACTTTCTGCAATTTCATTGTGGAAGTTGTGTGAAGTTAGCTGAGTGACTGAATCCATGTCGTGGAGGTGGGCTCGGTTTTTATAGACCTCTGCAGCGACTTCATCATCCAGTTCACCTGGGGACACACATTCACACAGCGGTCCTCTGTTAATCCTCTTATTCTACTCCTCAACCTTATATTTGATCTCTCTGAGAAAAAAACATCTACTCAATCTTCTAACCTAAATGGGATTCTTCATCTTCATCCACGTGATCATCCTCTTCCTCCCCCTGCTCTGCTTCCTCATGCTTTGTGAAGAGCGTCAATACTTCATCGAAGCTGTGCAAGGTCAAATATTTCACCTCTGAACTCTGAAACGCACAAAAAACACCCAAGCAGGAATTAATTTTTAACATATTGGATGTGATTATAATGTTAATATGGGGCTATTAGGGGCACACAAAAAAAATGCATCTTTAAGTTTGTTTCGATTGTGGATTTTTTACTTTAAGTAGAAATATTGGCTTAAATACAGACATTATTCCATCTAAAATCTGTTGATTGTGGTGCTGAGGAGTTAAATCATTACTCCTGAGATGTCTGGATGATGCAGTGAGCTTTACATGTATAATTCTGACTCTTTTTAGATAAAAGATGCTCAAAAATTTAAATAAAAAAATGTATGCCAACAAATAAACATTGAAATTGTTGAGTGTGAACTTATACCTTCTCAGGCAGCCGATAGGCAGCGTTGTACTTATCAGGGGTCTTCACTGCTGGGCTCTGCCTGGGAAGCACAACGGCACACAAAGAGCCTGTTAAAATCAGCTCAAACCCAACATAATGAATGTTTTTTTCCCCGCGGCTCCTTTAGGTTCTGCACACCTGTGCACCAGCAGCAGCAGAGCGACGCCTCGCAGCCTCCAGGCTAGAGCGGCGGCCACGTCGCGGTCAAGTTGAGCAGTCGCCGGGTGGGAAAAGAGGAAAACCTGAGGCGTCAGCTGATAGGGGAGCTGTGGGGGCGGGACCAAGGAAGGGTCGACGTACACCTCAGACTGATGGCGAGAAATATAAAAACAGGTAACCATGCCTTCTTTTTTTTTTCTGATTCATAATCCATAACCGGATTCTGTTTACCACAAGCGGGGCCTCCAAAAGCTGTAAGAAGGCGTGCAGGTTAAGAGTGGACAGGGCCTTCCTCATACGCGTCGACGGGCAGCGCTCAGAGGTCACCGGGGTCATGGAGGTGTCATCGGCTCTACAGTGGAGGAACCACACTTGGGACAGCTGGGATGATTCGTTTACTCTACCAAAACACCACGTCACTGTTAGCGCTTAGGCTCCAATAGCGAATTATTATCATGAGAAGAAAAAAAACAAGAAGGACGTACCCTAGTTGCTTTAATACTGGACCTCCAGTTATGAGAATGAACTGATATTTTGATCCGTAAACATAAGCTGTCTCCATTAGTGATCTGTGTTCTACAAAACATACCAAAGATCCAGTTTGGTTCATTTACAATCCCCGAAGGCTAAGAGCAGGTATTACAATCACTGCGGCCATTTTACAGCTTTAAATCCTCACCCTGTGTTCCCAGACTACGCACATAACTGAGAACCATGTCCTTCTTCCCTTTGGCTGCCTTCTCCATGGCCAGCAGGTCAGCATCTGTGTGGACGTACCTCACCTCATCACCTAGAATGGCGCTGGGAGACAGAGACCAGGAGGTGTATCTCGACCAGCTTATTACACAGATTCTCAACTTGATTTAGGTCCAGACTTTAAAGGAGCTAATTTAAAATATGCACAAATAATTACAATGATTGCATAAAGCATCTGGTGCAAAACCTCATTGTCAAAGCTGTTGGTAAATACTGACAGTTTATAAATAATTTCAAATGATTGATTCTACCGATCTCACCACCGGAGAGAGAGGTGCTTACTCACAACAGGACCTCAGCCACTATGGAGTTAACATCAAAGACGGTGTCCAAACCGAAACTAGAGAACTCTTTGCCGCCTCTACCAACACAAACATACACAACTTAATTAGACAGAGAGGTACAATAGGATGCAGCAGGCAGGTAACTTTGAAGAGAGTATTTTGCTTCCATAAATGGGTTTATAGATCTTTTCAATACTAC